TTTTTTTTTCTTGGTGCTTTTTATGAAAACATGAAGGAGATTTGGAAAACTAAACATACGTCAGTTCTTTTTTTTCCGACTTTTATCTAGCGTGTACAGATATGTTAGAAGGGAAGAAATTTTTTGTTTCTTTGCGTAATAATATGCTTATTTTGAAACAAAATCGGAATTAGCTTTCAGTGACGAAACGTGATGACAATAACTGGTGGGAAGGGACATTGAATAATAAGACTGGCATGTTTCCAGCTACCTACGTATGCCCGTTCAACAATTCTGCTCATTGATATATTGTACTTTTTAGTATTATTAACACTATATTTTCTTTTTTCTTCAACGTTTTAGTTTGCATGAAGTTTATGTATTAATAATTTTCCTTTTTTTTTTGTAGTACTTCGCTTACTGTGCTCATAGAGTATATTCTTGTATTATTTTTTGAATTCTATCTTGTATTCGTCTGTTTGTTCGTTTACAGACTGTTGTTAAGCTTGTGATTTTTAACGTAGAGTTTTCAACTCTTTCATCTGTATTTTTTGGGAGAGTTAGCGCTTTGTTTTCTGGAATTCTGTGCAAGATTCGCATACTGCTGCAAATTTGGTCGTTTTTCAGTTTTTGCAATAAAAATGTCTATTTCTTAAGCATTTGGTAATGAAATCAGTCTTGCAATGATGTTGTTGCCCTGCTACTTTGTTTTTATTTCAGTGAGTTTTTATAGTCTTATTTATATAGTTTCCCAGTTCTGATGTGCTAATCATTTTTTCGAAGTCGCATTATAAGCTCGATCTGAAATCGTCATGGACTGTTTACGGTAATTCGCAGAAAACTTCCATCGGATTAATTGAAGTCTTGATGTTTTGTGTTATTTTTCTTTATTACTATTATTATCTTCAAAGGTTGTGCAACAAAATTAAGTTTTACTTAAAAATTCTTGCCTCAAAAAGCTTTCTGCTGCCCAACGCTGTGCTAATTTTTTTCTAGATGTGTTTGTACATTGATTTCTTGTTTTATCTTTCAATTTTGTTTTTCTTTCTGTTTTCAATTTTCTGTTATGCGATGTAACGTCTATTGAGAGGTGATTTTTTTGTCTTTTTAATCGGTGAATAAGGAGTTGAACGAAGCTTTAATATGGAAACTGAATTTCCCCTTAAATTGGTTCTTTTTGCTGACAAAGGCTATTATGTAGTATTTATCATTTATTTCACTACTATACATTTTTCTTCCTGTACACAGAAACGACCAAAGTTTGTCTGCTCCCCTCTACTGCTATTCACTCCTGTACCTTACCGGCAATCTATTTTATTTTAATTAATAGCAATTGTTTTAATGTATTTTCAATTGCCTTTCGGTGATGTTCTGTTTTAATCATCTCTGTGTTTTTGTCAGATGTTTCTTCTAACGCTGCGTATCAATAAAGAACGGCGTGCTTATTCATCAGTTATCAAGCGGATAGTTATTGAGTCTCCTCTTTTTTGGTACTGTTTCTTCACGCAGAATAAATTTGGTTTTAGTTCTTTAGATCCATGTTTAAATCAGGTTACTGTTGTTTAGCCGTATATAACAGGCATAAAGGGCGTAGTGTGTGGTGTTCGTACCGGTCTGCTGATGCTTGCGGTGCATGCCCTATGTAGTTGAAATTGTGACCATTGGGCAACTTTGGTTAATGGTGACAGTTAGAGAAGTTGATCTGCTGTGGCTTCAAAGAATCTAATTTGGCATTAGGACCGCGTAGATCTCGTGTCATTGGATCGGTGAAAGTTGCAGTATCTCGTAGTGTTTTACAAATGGTTCCTGTAACTGTGAAGTGGTTATTTGCGAGTTCCGATTAAATTGTTATTGGGTTCTTGTACAGCAGGTTTTATCTGTGTCGTCATCGATTGTGTTCAGAAGACAAGTATTTTCGAAGAAAATGTTTTCTGCCAGTACTTCCTCATTTAGTCGCTTTGTAGTGGTGGAAAATTGTTTTCAGTTCCTTTCAGTGTTGATGGCTGTTTCCTTTTTTGGTGGACAAATAAATGACTCAAACTTTAAACTTTCTTTTGGCGGTACGGAATGACAAGCAAGTAGAAGTTGCGTTTTTGATTACAGCTAGTGATTGCAAGTGAAAAATTCTGATTTTTTTTTTTTTTTTTCTGGAAAATGAGGTTCTACACTTAAAAACATCAAATACGTGCATCGCGTCACATAAAAAAGTATTGCATTGTCAACATGGTTGAATCAAGCTTTGAATATTAACAACTGCATACGTACGGTTTTTATTTTATCTAGTTGTTTTGGACTACAGACAGCTCTTTAGATGCGGAGGCAAAATTTCCTTGACTTCTGAAAAACAAGTGTCATTTTGCTGCAGAAAACACATCAATATTATCAATAGTATTCTAAAAGAACTACTTTAATTAGAAAGAAGTAAAATTGTATTTGTGCTTTATATGATCAGGATAGGGTAAAACAGGTTTCTAGTTCGAACTACTAACGTACTGATCGTAGTGTTTCACCAGTCACTGCAAAACTTTACATTTACTGATAGATACCGCTGCTCATGATACCTAATGGTATTGAAAATTTATTAAAATAATTTTTTCACTGTTTTTTTACCATTTTTGGAGGTGGAAGTCTGGCTTGCGGGTAACTGTTTGTTTTTAGCATTTTTACTGCTCAGTTTCACTGAAGATGTCGTACGTTTAGTAACATTTATATGTTTCTAGAAACTGCAATAGATTTTAAAATAAATTTCATTTGACAACTTGAAGTGTATTTTTGTATCCTTATATTCTTGAAAAATTGGAGTTTGATCAAGTAAGTGGTAAAATTATTTTTTTTGAATTTAAATTCTCGGTTTTTCAGTTTTCATTTGTGTTACGGAATATTTGTTTGTTTCTTTGAAGCTTCTAGCTTTGAGTTCGGTAATTCAATTTTACTAGCTTTTACTCGGTGTATGACAAAGTCCTGGAATTAAATCAAGCTTAGTGTAAAGAAGACTCAACAACTATTTTTGGGTTTATGACATTCTCTGTTTACTGTCAAAAACATTTTGAAAAATAGATTTTCTTAAAAGTCTGACTGAAATTATGAGTAACATGGATGACCTCAATGCTACTTCTGACAAGACAGTATTTCAAGCTGCTACAATTTCTGCTCTGTTCAGAGTTGATTTTTAGTATTCATTTTTTGGCCGAAGCTATTTGAACTTAATTTCAATGGTTGAGAACAGATGGAAATGTTTATCGTTTAGTTTTAAGGGTTTAAAGTGAAGTTTAAAAGTAAAGGCTGATTATGTCTAACAGAGCTTTTATTCAGCTAATCACCAGCTGCTGCAAATACTGTCTCGATGCGGAAAAGTTTGTCAACCATAGTCAACGAGATGATGATGGTTGTTCAATTTCAAATTCATCAAAACACCTACCTTTTTTTGCTTGCATCTGAAACATATAATAAAAAAGCGTTGTTTATTTTCGTTTATTTTCAGCTTGAAATCATTTT